GGCGGCCGGGCCCCCTTCCTCCTGCTCCTTCCTCCTCCTCCTCCTCCTCTTCTTCGTGTCCCCCCCACCCCTCTGTGCCCCCGCGCGAGCCGTGCCCTGGGTTTGGAGCGGGGCGTGGGAGCAGCGTTATCCCGGCCCCGTGTCCCTGCAGCCCGGGCTCCATCGCCTTCCCTCAAAATGCGAGTTTCCCCCTTTTTTCCCCTTTTTCCCCCCCTTTCCGGTGTGTTATCAGGCCATCTGTCGCCCTTAATGTCTTTCCTGCCCGTGCGCTGCAGCCGGTCGAGTCGGCAGCCTCCGAAGGTGTTTGCCATCGCCTGACACGGTTTTATTATTCCATTATTATTATTGTTATTATTGTCATTTCTTCCCGCACTAAGCCAGGCCAAGGCCCAGGGCCGCACAAGCTGCGCCCGCCCGGGGACAAAAGGGCCTTTGTGGCGCCAGTGTCCCTCAAACGGGGCCCGTGTCCCTCCTGCCACCAGGGAGACACCCCGACGTCACCCCACAGTGTCCCGCGGGTGCCGGGATCGCTCCAGGCTGGGAGAAGTAGGAGGCACCGAGGGGTGGAATAAGCAAAGTTCCCATAATCAAGCTGGGCTTTATTTTTATTTTATTTTAGAGATCCCTTTTCTGTGTAGGATTCTGTAATTTTTTGATTGCTGAGACTCACTGCACTGAGAAACCTTTCTGCTTGAAAGCCGGATCCGCACATGTAATTTCCTCCTAAACCTTTTTGCTTTCACATGGATTTTCACTTGCAACGTGCATGTTTTTGTATATGATGTGTCCCCAGGCATTTATGATATGCACGGGGTATCTGTATAATCTGTACATAGGCATTTTTGGAAACGAATGAATTGGAAGAGAAACAAGATCTAAAGCAAGAGGGACCTCCTTGGGTCTGGGAGAGGGGAGGAAGAGCACGAGGATGAGGAGTATCCCAGTGCTGACAATGGGAAGAGGGATGACGAATTGCCAGAGCCGATCAGTGGGAAAATACGAATTAAACAGTCAAATTGGATGTGTGATGTGGGAGACGTGCAGGGCCAGTTGTACTTGGCAGGGTGGCTGTGTCTGTTGTAGTTAAAAGATATTTGAGTGGGACCCTCGGAGTAGTTTTCTGGGAGTGGAGCTTTTCCCAAAGGCCATGGAAACATCAAGGATGCCTCCGTGAACTTCAGGCAGTTAATCATAGCGGCTCAATCGAAAAAATGCCCAACGGAGAAGGTCAATGCTAAAATTTAACCCAAATAAGGAAAAAAGGAGACTCTCATTACGGATGGAAAGGAAGGGGCAGCTGAAAATTTGCTGGGTGAATTTAGAAAAAATCAACTCTGCTTCTGGTTTCACAAGATCTCAGGAATCCAGGGGGTTGTTGAAACTCTGCTCAGCTGATGTAGCTTGTTCGGTGCCCCAGTTTGGTTTCAAAACCTTCTGCTCTATCTCGCATTCGCTCAGAGCAGGGGGCCAGGAACGCGCGCGCTCTCGCGGTCGCACAACTGCCCTTTGGGGAAAAACTAAACCATACTGGACATTCTTGGTAGGATTTATTTTAATCTAACATCTCTTTTATATATATATACATATATATGTATTTTCTTTTATCATTTCACATCCTCAGGATGAAATCCTCAGTCTGTGCTCATGGCGCTGGGGAGACCTGCGAGGTCGGAGGGGTCTCCTTTGCTTTGTGCTTCTTTTCCAATAACTTTGCTACAGGCGGGTTGTCCTATGCCCCATCATATAGATAATTAATGCCCTTAGAAATGTGGTGGAGGGGGAGGCTGCTGCTCTCTTTGGACCCCCCTTAATGTCTCCTTTCTTTCTAGGCAGCTCCTTGTAGCTGTGATTGATAGAGCCAAGCAAGGTATCCGCAACCCGGTGCCCATAAATGTTGTCACTGGAAAGGAATTGCCTGCAAGGCTTTCACATTATAGATACGAATCCTCTAACTTGATAAGTCGCACTTGTAATTAAAATCTTTGCCCCTGATTTGATTGTGTTTCACTGCGTATCTGCCGATCGCAGCCGGTTGCCTGGAACGTTTGTGCTCTCCTTGTGCAAATACTCTTTTCTTCCAAGCAAGACCGGCAGCTGTGCCCCTCACCTTTGCTTCACTCAAAACCAATTAATGGGGGAAATCTTGGCTTAGAAATTTCCCCTTAAAAATGATCTCACCTCTTAAAACATCTTCTGAAAATCCCGTGCACCTTGCAGTTTCCTTCCAACAAAAGCCCTGAACCGAGGTACCTAGATGCCTACTGCATCCGCATCCGTTTTTATTATTATCTTTGGTGTTGCTTTAGTATGTGTTAAGCACGGATGAAAACACGGGTGTTTCTTTGGTCTGGGTATAGCTCACCGTGCCCAGACTTGCACTGCTGCCACTCACTTGCCCTTGTAAAACTCCACACAGCATAAAAATCACGGAGCACCGAGCCCCCTTTGCAAGAGCATCGCCCCCGTGCATGGGCTGCCCGCGCGGGCGCTGCCGCTTCCCGCTGCCTTTGCGAAATATCTGTGTTTTTTGGGCTTTTTTTCCTCTTCCAGTATGCATGACCAACTGCCCAACGCTCATCGTCATGGTGGGGCTGCCGGCGAGAGGCAAGACCTACATCTCGAAGAAGCTGACGCGCTACCTGAACTGGATCGGGGTGCCTACGAAAGGTGCGCGCTTTGCGCCGGGGCCTCTTCCGAGACCCAATTCCCAGGGGTTTTGGTGCCTGGGAAGGCCTCTATTTAAATTGACCTTGAGCTCTTGGAGCTTAAAAAAAAAAAGCCCTGCTAATTCCAAGAAACACGTTTAGCATGTTTTGCTTAAGTGAGGTGTTATAGATGGACCTTGATATTGTTTGAGTAGGACAATTTGCAGGATGTCCATTATTGCTTCTAATAATTAACTTTCACTTGTAATAAGTTTGGACCATTTTCACACGGGAGCACCCTTGTGATGAGCCATAGCAGATACTCAGGGACTTGAGGTTGATGTAGTAGTCAAAATTGTTCAGCTGGTTTCCCACCAGGTGTGTGCCATAGCTCACATGTTCGTTGGATGACGCATTCTGCAGAGGTGTCGTGGTGCTGAGGGTCCTGCAAGAAGCAGAAATCCAGCCACACAAAACCCAAGATATTCCCGCCTGTGAGTCGGGCTTGAGCAGATACGTCCCCGTTGCAAACACATCGTTGCAGCGATGCAATTTTCTTGAAAGTGAAGTCAATGTAAAGTGCTCTGTTGACTGAATGAGTAGATGACATGTCGCCTAATGCTTCCACTTGTTTGGGATTGAATGAATGAGTGATATGGAATAAGTATCCATTATTTCCAACATCTGTTACCCGTAGGCCCTTAATGTCTTCAAATTAGTGTATGCTTAATATGGTAAATGATCCTATTCCCTGAGACAGATGGTTAAAATTACTAAGTTACGTAAAGCAGAGAAAAGATAAATGCCATCTTTTAATTTATGACACGTTGAGCACACTGGAGAGTTGAAGGACATGGAGGTAAGGCCCAGCCTGGATGTTATTTCCAATATTTAAACCAGCAGCTTTAGATTTTCTTTGGTTCCTTTCAAACTTCCCTGTCATTTAGAGTTTGAAATGGTTAAAAATACAAGTGGCTTCTGTCTGGGCTTTTTGGAGGAAACGAGGTCAATTAGATGCCTGACCAGAACTGTGCTGGGATGTGCTCTTTAGAGGCAAAGTTTTGTGAAGCTTTTCAGAATATTTTTGTCCCTTTGCTAGCGGGGAGGTTTTCCAGCTGGTTTTATGAAGCAGCTCCCCGGAGGTAAGTGCTGATCCCATGGGAGAACGGTTGTGCCCCTGCATAGCACTTCTCCCTTTGCTTCTCTTCTTCCAGTAACTTATTTTTTGTGACGTTTCATCGTGGCCTCTCTGAATATATATATAGAGATATGTATATATGTATGTATATATTTCAGCTGCCGCATTTTCCTGAGATGGTATGGCCTGTGCTTGGGAAACTTGACCAGTTTGAACTGGGTTATCCTATATCGAGGTCATGCAGCTGACCCCACATGATTGCATCAACAGTATTGAATTCAAACCAACCAACTTCTTGGAGGGATTAAAACACCAATCACTTCCTTATCTTCCTCCTTCATTCCAGCACCAATCAGTGTGTGTTTTTCTTCTCAGGAAAAGTTATGCTTGAGCCCTTTGGCCATATGTTTCTTACAGTCTTTGCTGCACTGCAGTAATTATGTCCGTTACTTCTTTCCCTCTGCCTGCAAACGAGCTCTGGCAGGTAGCGATGCAGAACCGAATGCTTCACGTCGGTCGGATACGCTGTAAAGTTCAACCTATAGATCACCCCAGCAGTTAAATATTAATTGCACTTGGGAGGCCTCCGTTCGGTGCCGTTGGCTGCTGCGTGGCAAAGCGGAGCTGCCTTGCCCTGATCCCTGCCCGCTGTCGTGACAGATTGGCTGGCACGAACCTTTGCCCGGCTAGAGAAGAGATTTCCTTGACCGCTCTTAACGGGTCACAGTGAGATTATGTGCAGTGCTTATGCTGTTGAGTTTTTTCTTCCCAACTTGAGCATTTTCTTAGCTGAAGACAACAGTCTATTGAAACAATATATTCTGATTCACAAGGAACGGAAATATTTGAGCAGTGTTCTTAAAAATGTTCCCACAACATGAATTTTAAGCGTGGTTTAGCAAACAGGCTAAGTCCTATTTGGGGATTGAAATGAGATTTAGAGCCTTGGGAGGTGCTGCCACTGCATTATTGCACTGCACAGAGGGGGAAAAAAAACCCTATATTGTTAGCAGCCCTTTTTCTGCACTACTGAAACAGGTTTGCAGCCACCCCAGCAAAGCAGGAAAAGCAATTTCTATTTTGCTCGGGCAAACAGGCCGGCAGAGACATTGCCATATGGTCCAGCGGCTCCCCTGGAGCTGCCCACGTCCCCATGTCCTCATGCTGTTCCCATGATTTATCGCTAAGTTGTCTTCGTATTAAAAAAAGACAAGCCAGTGCATTCCATGTTGGCTGAGCACATGAGTATTTTATCCTTGGAGGTGGTTTCGGGAGCTATCGTAGCATTTTACTCTCCTTGGCGGTCCCCATTAATGCCGGTTTCTCCTTGCCAGAGTTCAACGTTGGGCAGTACCGTCGAGACCTGGTGAAAAAATATAAATCATTTGAGTTCTTCCTACCTGACAACGAAGAAGGCTTGAAAATCAGGAAGTAAGTGTTGCCTGTGCGTGGTCCTGCAACCTGCTGCCAACGCAGTGTCCGTCGAGCCTTGCTGCTCGCGCCGCTCTGCGTTTGCATCCATTTTGTGCTCGTGAAAACCCCTAAGGGACTGCAGTAGGCAAACACCAGGGAATTTTAGAGGAGGTTGGAAAGTGATTTGTGCAGAGAGCTTAAAATTTGGGGTGTTTTGCTATTAATTGCATCCCTTCAAGCAGCAAAAATGTGGGTAAGTGCTTAAACGTGATTCCTTTTGGCCTTGCAGTAGGCTGCAGGGGAATAGGGAAGATGCAAACAAATTCATTTTGGTCCGGATGGAGCAAAACTGGGAAACATGCATGAGTTTTATTGTGTGTCCCCCCTGTTCATCTCCAGCAGTAACAGTGTTGGGCTGCTGTTTACAAGATGCCCCATACACATGTATTCAGCAAACACACACACATATATATATATAGGTGTATATACATATATATACTTGATGCTTTTTCATGGTTTAATGGTGCACTGATGAGCAATATGCATTTCTGAGAGCAATCATCTCACTAGCATTTGTATTAACTGAGCTCAATGCCTTAATAAAACGACTTGAGCCCGTGTTTGAGGTTTCTTCTCTTTCCTTCCTAAGACAGTGTGCCTTAGCAGCGCTGAGCGACGTCCGGCAGTACCTCAGCGAGGAAAACGGGCACGTGGCTGTAAGTTTCTTTTGGAAGACAAATTTGTGACATTTCTCTCCACAAAAAAGTGCTGGATAATACATAAGCTTAAGCATTCCAGGATATCTTAACTATATGAGTTATATTAAGTATATGAGCCATAACTGTGAGCTCTGCTAAGGGGTTTGAGGCAAGCTTCAGTACTTGGATAAATACTGGTACAAGTACTATTCTTGACCTGAAGCTCTTGCAAAAAGGCTGTATATTTCCTTGTAATAAGACAGATTTTTTTTTCCTTGTAATTCAGGGATTTTAACAGTGCTTTTTTAATTCCCTTTCTTCCAGGTCTTTGATGCCACAAACACAACTCGAGAGCGTCGAGAAACTATTTACAAATTTGGGGAGGAAAATGGATATAAGGTGAGTCGAAAGCAAAGGATATCTGGGCTGATACTTGGGAAAGCAGTGGCAGTTTTGCTCCTTCACCCTCTTTTCAGAGGAAAGCTCCAGCATGGCCACATCCTTGTATCAACATGATGTGTCAGCAGATAGTTTTAGTGCTTTAAAGATTAAATGATAAGTGGATTCCCTGCACCTTCCTTTCTCTTGCATTTAAATTTTATTCAGGTTGGAGTTGATCTCTCTTGTGCCATTGGCTGCACTGGGATCCTCCTGAACCTGTACCTCCAAGTGTGCTGTTGGCAATAACAATTTATAGAGGGGTTCGGGTCTTCTGTGCTGAAACACCCAGGGAAATTCATGCTAGTTCTGCACACCCTGGAGGTTTTGTGTGGCGCTCTGCCTTGTGCCCAGGATTACTTTGCATTTAGTAGCCTTCCATTTGCTCTTCTCTTGCTCCTCTATGCCTGTAAGGAGGCAGACCACAAACATCCTCTTAAGTGCGGCTGCTCCGCGTGTTATTTATCCCAGTCACGGTTTGAACGGCTGAATTTGCGTCCTCCCCACTGATTTCTCTATCATCTCCTCCATCCTAAGTCACTCTTCCTTCATGGCTTGAAAGCATCAGTGGGGAAAAATAGGGCAGCGGAGCATCGCGCTTGGGAGCCATCAACTCCACATCAAGGACAGGGGCGTGTGGTGGGAAGCAGAAGGCCTGGCCCGGCTCGGCCGGGGTTAACTGTGCGTGTTGGCCTTCTCATGCATCTCCTTTCTTCCTTCCTTCTGTCCGCACGGCTTCCTGTTTGGATCGAAGACGTTTTTTGTGGAGTCAGTGTGCGTCGATCCCGAGGTCATAGCTGCAAACATTGTGGTGAGTACCAGGAAGGCGGTTTTAACCGCTCCCCGTCTGCAGCCTGTTAAGTCAGCAGCTTCAAGTGGGTTCACTATTTCAAACACTGCATTAGAAGCACTTCCAATAGGAAAAATCATTAACTCCCATTAGTGGGGCTTTTTTTCCTTTCTATTTATTTTCCCCTGCGCTGAGGCAGAGGCTCAGTTCTCTGAGGAACAGGTGTTTTTGCTCGATTTATATGATTTTTTCAGAACATAAGTTCTGTTTTTTATCACAACTCCCATTTCTTTATACTTCTCTTAAAAAAAGAAGAAGAAAAAAAAGAAAAACTAATATACTTCCTTGGTTTTATTTTAAATAGCAAGTAAAACTGGGAAGTCCAGACTATGTTGACTGTAGTAACGATGAAGCAACGGAAGATTTCATGAAGCGCATAGAGTGCTACAAGAACTCGTACGAGACTCTCGATGAGACTCTTGACAAGTAAGTGGTGGAACAGCGCTGTGCTCACAGCTGCATTACCTGAGATGTTTCCCTGGGCATCCCTTTGGGAATGGGGATTTTTGGTGGTTTGAGCTTTCTTATCTCTAACAAATTGGAGAGAGTGCATTAGGGAGGCTTAGGCTGGAAACTCGGTGCTTGAGGAAAATTGGCTAAGGAGAGTACTCTGGGACAGTGCTCTTTCCTGTTTTCCAGCTTGAAGGGTGGTGTGGTCCTTCTGGAACAGAGCCTGTATTTAAAAGTGATCTCGGAGTAGCTGCCGTGCCTGGTTGTTTTTTTATTAGTCTGTAGAGCAGACCCGAGTGATTTGGAAACAACTTCAACTTGTTGACACGGCCCAGAGGAATTTTGAGCCTGTCAGTCTTGCAAAATGTGATTTCGGAATTTCTTTATTTGCAAATAATCCTACCAACTCAGGACTGTGAGAAATGCTCACATATGTGGTATCTGCCCTTTTCCCCAAAGCATTCAGCTGTTTTTTTTAGATCTTCTTTCAACACCTGGAAATAAGGTAGGGATGAGTCAAGCCTGGATGTCCCTCTCATGGCTCCTAGAGGACTGGGGTGATGGAGCAGCCTGAGGTTCATCTTAATGTAATTGAGTGTAAGAAGCACGAAGCTGCTTCAGTCAGATCCACTCATGCATTAGTTGCTGATGGATCTAACGGTCGGGCCTGTGCAAGTCGGTAATGATTAACTCCCGGGAACAGCATCGGAGATAAGGCGGCAATGCTTGCTCCTTATCACCTCCGTCTGTTCTCGTTATAGGTTCTCTTATTTCTTTACTGTGTGACATCTGCAATGTCACACTCTCTAGAAACCAGCTGGGCTTTACTTTAGGCTTATTTGTCAGGCTTATTTGTTTGCCTTTTTTTTTTCCCCTGCTTTAAATTGGATGCTACTCAAAAATTACTCAGGTAGGAAAAGGAGGAAAAAGTGATGTGATCATGTGTGTGATGCTGGGAGAAGGTTGTGCTGGGGGAAATTACGGTGCTATTGGTGAAGCGTTGTTAGGGTGGCAGGAAAATGTCTTGCTTCAGGGTGACCCTTGTGATGCTGCTGCTTTCCTGGAGGGATTCACTGAGCCGGGTGACAAGGGCTGCGTGTCCGTAACCTGGAGAATGACATCTCAGTGTAACGATGAGCAAGAGGGCAGCAGGGTCCCAGCACGCGCTGATGCAAACCAGGCGGGTTCTCACGTATGTTTTCGCTTGTCCCCAAAAGGGATCTTTCGTACATCAAAATTATGGACGTGGGGAGGAGCTACCTGGTGAACAGAGTGATGGATCACATCCAGAGCCGGATTGTCTACTACCTCATGAACATCCACGTGACGCCCCGCTCCATCTACCTCTGCCGTCATGGGGAGAGCGAGCTCAACCTCAAAGGGAGGATCGGAGGAGACCCTGGGCTGTCCGTCAGGGGCAAAGAAGTAGGTACCTCCTGTGTCCCCTGGCCTTGGCTTGTGCGTCCGTGCACGGCCATGCAGGTGCAATCGCCGCTTCCTCCCCCTTCCCCTTGCAGTTCGCCAAGAGCTTGGCGCACTTCATCAACGAGCAGAACATCAAGGACCTCAAGGTTTGGACCAGCCAAATGAAGAGGACCATTCAGACGGCCGAGGCCTTGGGAGTGCCTTACGAGCAGTGGAAGGTTTTGAACGAGATCGATGCCGTAAGTTCGTCCTCTCTCGGGTTGCTGGGACAAGGAAGTGCTCCATTTCGCAAGCAAGGGCAGGAAGGTCACCAAAGCGGTAGTTGTGCACAGGGCTGCAACGGATGCAGTGTAGCCTCGCTCATGTAGTGACCTCCCTTGCCCATATGGATGTAGCTCACTTGCACAGTGATTTAATGCTCCATTCCTGCCACTGGGTCCAACTAGATCTTCATTTTGTGCACAACTTTTGGTCTGGGGCACCAAAGAGCAATGAAACACGTTTGCTAAAGGATAATTAAATTTGATTTTATCATAAGAGTGATATCTGCTTTTTGTGCTCGTGGAAAAAGGTGCTTTTAAATTATTTTTGTTACTTATAGGGAGTGTGTGAAGAAATGACATATGAAGAAATACAGGAAAACTATCCGCTCGAGTTTGCACTGAGAGACCAAGACAAGTATAGATACAGATACCCTAAGGGAGAGGTATGATGCTGTCTTATGGCAAACATGGCCCTATCTCCTTTCGTACATGCATGCGAAAGAAAAACAAAAGTTTCTGAGTAAATAAAAAGGTTGTTCCCTTTTCCCAAGCGAAGGGACATAGAGAACTTGCAAATATGGAGCCCATCTAGGCTCTGCTGAGATCACTGCCCAGATGATCCTCCTGGCATCGTTGTGGGTGCCTGTGGTGTTGCCTGCAGTTGTGGGGGAGCACTTTGGGAATCTGCAGACACGTTGGCCCGGGTTAAACTGGAAGCATCGAAGCTGCGACACCCTCTGGCCCCAGCGCTGGGCTCCCTTTCAGCCTCCCAGAAGGAGGCTATGCTCTTACGTTAGGGGAAAAATTAATTACTGCAACATTGGCCTGTGCTGTGGTGTAACATTTAAAGGCAACTAATACAAAATGAATCCCACCGTATCGAGATTTGCTTTCCCACTTTGGTCTGCTGCGTTTCTCCCCACCAGTCCTATGAAGACCTCGTGCAGCGCCTGGAGCCCGTTATCATGGAGCTGGAGAGGCAGGAGAACGTGCTTGTCATATGTCACCAAGCCGTCATGCGCTGCTTGCTGGCCTATTTTCTCGACAAGCCTGCAGGTAAATCCTCCCTGGAATGCTAGAAAGATGCTTATATTTTTCTCCTGCTGAGGTAGCTTGAAAATTAACCAGCCGAAGGCCCAGGGACCAAATTCGAGCCATTTGCTTCACGGTCAGAGAGGGAAGGGAGCAAACAGACTTCTCATATTTAACCCACTCGTGCTGCTGGATAGCTGCCTTTTATTGAGTTGCTTATCCCTAATGCCACAGTGTTGTTTTTCTCCTCTGTTTTAATTGCAGAGGAGAGAAAAGACGTACAGTGCCAATTAAAAAGCAGCTTTTAAAAGGTTGGCCTGTGATGCTGCAGAAAACTTGAGAGGTTCTCGTAATCTCTGTTTCATATGTAATTTGGATTCATAGGTAATTTTGATAAATGTTTGATTTTCCAGAACAACTACCTTACCTCAAGTGCCCGCTGCATACTGTCTTAAAGCTAACCCCAGTGGCGTATGGTGAGTAGCATCTCAGACAGCTTTAACTGTGCCATTAGGAGCTACTGTTGTCCAGGTTTGCAGTATTTTAATTAAAACACATTTAAAATTGACCTTGCTGGAAACCAGAACTGAGCTATTAGGTTCGACAGCTTTGCTAAAACTGGTGAATCCGGTCTTGGAAATGTCTGCTTGGTGTGGCAGGCACCAGTTCGACTTGGTGACTTTACAGATGGGTTGCAAAGGCACTTGCAGGTTTTTGGTGCTCTATTCTCACCCCGAATGAGGAAGCAGAAGTGGTGGTGTGAAATACCCCCCTTGCCCTTTGGAGTCCAGTGAAAGAAAGGCTAATACTGCCATAAACCTGTCTCAGGCTGGTGGGTGAGTCAGATGCAGAGGATGTGTGGGCAGACGTGGTGCATCGAGTCCCTACCAGCTAAACCCACAGTGGGACCCATGGGCAGTGGCAGTGACTGAGGATCAGAGTTGCTGTTTCTTGCTCTCAGGGATCGTAATGTTCCTATGGACCAAGAGATTCAGAGGGTGGTGTTCTAGCAAAAGAAAAGTGATTTTTCCCCCTTAAAATCTGTGTTTTGGTGGAAGCCTTCTGTGAGCAATGGCCCTCCTGCAAGGGGCTCCAAGGAAGAGCTTTCTCCATGGAAGCAGGTAGCTGCCTTATCAATTTATGCTAGGGTCCTTTAGAAAGGAAGGGCTAAAATCAGCTTTTCACCCATACGCAGTAATCTGTGAAATGTGCAGTCACTCTAGGAAGGACGTGAGCAGAAAGCCCTGGAAGACGAACCTGGCTCTTCTGCAAGGCACGGGCTCCTTGAGGTGGAGTATGTCCGAGGCGGCCAAGTCTGCAGGAACATGCTGTTGTCCTGCTCAAGTTTTTTAAAATGGGACCAGTATTTAAATTCTGTATTGCAATGAAAATCTAATACACCTTGGCTGTATAAAATCAAAGCTACAGGTAGAAGCTTTTCATGAGATGCTGTTCGTGGATGTTTAAAAAATGTAGATTTATGTTTCATTTTTCAGAACAGTATTAAAGGCAAGGTAAGAATACACGAGGGGCTATCAGGTTGGGAATGATATTCATTCTTGTGGAGCTGATTCCTTTTCAAGTGAAGCTCTTCAGAATTTCAGAAATCCTGGTATAAATCACAAGAGGGAAAGGATCAACCGTCACCAACTTGAAATTAGATTGCATCTTTACAGCGAGTTTGGTTTGGAAGCAGAGCAACTCTAAAAATGTGTTTCCTGTCCGCAGGATGTAAAGTGGAATCAATATTCCTGAATGTGGAAGCTGTGAACACGCATAGAGACAAACCAGAGGTAAGTGCTGCTTTCCCAGCAGAGAAGGCAACGATTCTCTGAGCTGACTCCTGTGGTCCTCGTGCTTGGAAATGATTTTTGTAACTCTGCTGATTATAATGTATACATCAAGATTTTCTACTAGCTTCTTGTTGAGAAAGCAGATCTGTTTTTATTGAGCCAATACGTTGTTTTGTATCTTCCAAAAACATGCTGTGCGTGTGTGCATATACGTGCAAATGAGCTTCTATATATGTATAAATGAGTTTGTAAGTGTGCATGCAGTTAGGCACATGACATAAAACAGCTGACCTGGCCGGAGGGTATTTTCTATTAGTGGCAGCCGTACGTAAACCACGCCAGAGGAACCACTGCAGAGAAGTTTATTTCAATGGTTTGGCCAAACGTGCTCATTTTGGATAATTGATAGCCAAGGCATCTTCCATGCGACAGCGGTGCTGCTGTTTCCACTCCCTTGCCCTTCTCCCCGTCGTCCTTGTGCCTTTGCTGCAGTGTCTTCACGGGGGCTGTTGGGTTTGGGGAGTCCCGGGGGCCTGGGAGGTGTTGGGTGACCGCAGTGGAAATAAATTCAGGTGTCTGGAAGTGGCTGCTGGGATAGCCCAGAAGAAGCATTAAATAATTCAGATGAGCAGAGCATTTTTCAGTCTGTCTGGCTGAATTTACACCTCGCTATAAGGTTTTGGGGGAGTTGCTGTTGGAAATAGCAGTTTACAACTGCAAAGGTGCGTTTGGGGGGCATCACCAGATCACCAAAGCAGCTGCTGGCGCCAGGCTGTTGTGCTTCAGGTGCACGTGAGGGATCGTGCGGACGGCTGCGCTGCTCTGGACCTAAAGCTGCTTCTTTAGAAATGAGATTGATTGCCATGAATTGGAAAGAAAACACACACAAAAGAGCAGAGACTCTCCAAACCCCCCAAACACCCTCCTCGCTGTCCTCAAGAGACCCACGCCAGGAAAGCACGGGCCACGTTGCCTTATTAAGTAAAGAGGGATGATTCTGTGCTGCTCGCTGGACTACCAATATTTCATTTCTAAAAATCTATGAAAATGTTAATTACTGCTATAAAACTATTTTTTCAGATACTCCCTGGAAACCAAAGCATTTAATTAGATATAGCTTTGCAGACGAGAACACCATTAAGCAGTGCACGTAGGTGACTGGGGATTGCCCCGGGTGCCCACACAAGTGATTTGTGGTCCCTGGCAGACGCAGTATTTCAGAGCAGCCCTGTCCTCCTCTGCTGTAGCCAAAAAGATGTGTTTTCACTTTGCATAAATGCAGGCAAAGCACAAAATTATTAGTTTTAGTGTATGTAAGCTTCTTTATACGATGAGGATTTATACGATGAGGATTGTGGTGATCAGCGGTGCAGAGTCTAGTTGGAGGCCTGTGGCTAGTGGGGTCCCCCAGGGGTCAGTCCTTGGTCCAGTCCTGTTCAATTTATTCATCAATGACCTGGATGAAGGCACAGAGTGCTCCCTCAGCAAGTTTGCTGATGA